TCTTCGCCTATTCCTAGCTTCAAAATAGGCATGAGTGAATTGGCAGAACACGTTGACCACTTCACCTGTTTGGAAAGTTGCATCACCCCCAATACAGTGACTTATTGTTGACGAAATCTCAGCTTGGATGTGGCATTTGTCAACTTTTGTCTTCTCAGGCGTAGACGTGATATGCGGCTAACGGTCACAGGACAGGTGTGCTGTGCAGTGTTTCGGTGTGTCATTCTTTATGACCGTAAGATATGGCCATTGGAAGTGGAAGGTGTGGAAAAAGACTAACTTTATTTGACAGTAGGTGTCTGCATCCTACCTTCCCTGTTAAGCAGTATAATATAGTGAGTACTATTCAAGTTGACCTCAGAGTGTTAGCTAAGGAGAGAAAATCAATCCATGAGGTTGTGAAGCTACATCGATTAAAATAACTGGGGCACCACGTGTTACCCGTGCTAAGCCACCGCTTTCCCCGTCGATTACAACATGACATCAATCTATGGAGTGTTTGACTGGCGGTTTTAGACACCTTATAGGCGACCACACTACCTGGCTGCTGATATCCCCTAGGTGCTAATTACCAATTACTAGAGAATTGTTATGAAATGGCTTTAAATCATCCTGAGGCGTTCACTACTTTTAGTCTCCCAAATTCCTTAGATCCTCATTATTCTTCCTGTTAAACATTTGTAACTGTTACAGTTTGTTTTCCCCTTAATTTTTTTCTACCTCTTTGTGTACATTTCTAAAGTGTGGAAATTTGAACCAATCCACCTTATGACAATGTCTTTAAGTACTACCAAAGTTCAAAGTTGTGCGTCGGTGGCATAGCGGTTAGGACGCTCTCCGACCATGCACATGGTCCGGGGTTCGATCCCCGGCCGACGCACTCCTTTACCTCGCTAAGCCAGTAATAAGAATGATAAAGGGGGAAGGTTGGGCATGAGGCCAGCAACCCCATCCCGCAAAAATAAACTCTGCTACAGAAACCTTAGGCCTCTAGCTTGAAGCCCTATGTTCCACTGGGAACGTGAAGGAATAAAAAATAGTTCAAAGTTATCGGGAATCTAATCAAGGGAGCATCCACTTCAGATATGATGGAGAAGATTTGTAGCTTAGATGGATGATTTTGATGTAGGTGTGTTCTCTTAGCTAGCTGGATAGTTTATAGTTGCGAAGCTTTCATTGCCCCCTACTTACTAGGCAACATCTTCAGCGCATACACTTCAATTTGAATTGAACTGAGCTTTTAGATTTCTCCACGAGTTTATTAGTCATCTCTCCTGGTGGGTGATCTTGAATGTCGTGATTGTGTTTTCACAGTGTCTAGTTTACTTGTATTTGGTACTGATTGTTTCCTTGATCTGAAGTTTGACACTTTGTGTGTGTGAGATTTCCTTCTTATGGATTGGTAAATCTTGTCTATGTCAATGTGTCTATTGATTGACGACTCACAGGAGTACCGGGCTGCCAAAAATGTATCCGGCATTTTTGGTGCTTCCTCTGTTTAAGATTTGAACACATTGACATCGATAACATTTTGGTAATCGGTAAGGAGGAAATCTGACACACAAAGGGTCAAACTTCAGATCAAGGAAACAATCAGTGCCATTACAAGTAAACTAGAGACTGTGAAAACACACAAAACCAACCAATCACGACGTTCAAGGTCATCCACTATGAGAGATGACTAATAAACTCGTGGAGAAATCTAAAAGCTCACTTCAATTCAATTGAAGTGTATACTCTGAAGATTTCGCCTAGTAAGTAGGGAAGTGAAAGCTTTCGCAACTATAAACCATCCATCTAGCTCAGATAACACAACTACATCAAAAAGATTTATTTATTTAACTGAATTTTAGATTTTCCCATCGATTGATTTGACCGAAGTGCTCGTACTCCGGTCGACACGTTGGCTTCTTGTGCAGATGCTTCGGCGATGTTTGGGCATTTAATTAGAATTTAATTGGTGGGTGATGACTAGCATTGGAACCCAGGACAACACGCATTTCATCCTATTTGGGACTCGTCCTCCAGCTGGATGTACCTGCATTCCCCAGTCAGTGAGTGATGATGTTCCCACCGAGGCTCGAACCCAGTGCCCATAGTTTCAAACGCGAATGCGTTATCCTTGTAGACCACTTGGGCTACGGGAGCCATCTCTTATTTTTGAAGTAGTTATGTTCTCTGAGCTAGCTGAATGGTTTATAGTTGCGAAGCTTTCATTCCATTTCCAAGATGGACACTGGGTTCGAGCCTCGTTGGGAACATCATCACTCACTGCGGAATGCAGGCACATCCTGATAACGAGTCCCAAATAGGACGAAATGCGCATACTGGATTCCATTGCTAGTTACCATCCACCAATCACAAGATTCACTTATTTAAATTTCTACCTAACTCCATGATATCAGATAATATTGACAGGTGTATCTGAAGCATTTGTGCTAATATTACTTCTCACTATTTATGTATGTATGAGCAACTGATAATCAATAATTATGATTGATTTTTAATTGGAAATCTAAATTATTATTGTCATTACTCATACATCCTAACTAATGTGACCTACTATTCATGTTTATATTTGGAAAGGTGAACATGTTTTCGGTATATACATGCGAATAAGGTTGAAATTGTGAAATTTCACAGTGAACTTGTATTTCATTCTATGTGTATTGAGTGGGATATTTATTTTTTCCAGTTGTTTTATTGAACGAAATAAAGCACACGCGCTAACCTTTAGATAATAATAATGTGTAGACTAAGTGGTCCACAGGAGGCACAAACAGGAGAGAACGGGGCAGGCTTTAGACCAGGAACAGGGTGTTTTGAACATATCTTCACTCTTCGACAGATTCTGGAACTTAGGCATACTTACCATCAGCGTCCAACAATCGTTATATTTCTAGACCTAAAGGCAACATTCGATTCTGTTGACAAAGAGGTCCTCTGGCGATGCTTACCTGCAAATGGAATGACGAGAAAATACATCGCCCACTGATCAAGGCACTCACTTTACTCGAAGTCATGCTGTCAGCCAGGTGAGGGCTTACGGCGACTTGTCATCTGAACTGGTGACAACTAGTGATGACCGTCAGGGATGCCCACTATCCTCATTTCTACTCAATTTCATCAAAGATGTACTAATGGACTTAACCCTAACTCACTTCAGAGACTCAGGGATTGATTTGTTACTAGGATGTCATCTCGTTGACCTAGAATATGCAAATGATATAATCCTCCATCCTGGGTCAAGACGCTGACAAAATGCAGGGTCTTCTCAACACATTGAGCTGCAGTTTGTGTGTGTTTGCATGCAATTCGCACCCCTTGTCAAATGTAAGATGATGCTACATGACTGACTGGACTACATCGACTCCTAGCTTAGAAATAGAGAGTGAAGTAGTAGAGCACGTTGATCGCTTCACTTATTTGGGAAATTGCATCAGCCAACGCCAACGGGTAAATCTCTGACGAAATCTCAGTACGGATACAGAAGGCTAGTTTCGCATATGCCAGTTTACGCCGTCTCTGGCTAAGTAGACGTCATATCCGGCTAGCTATCGATCAAAGTGCGTGTGTACTGCTCATCAGTCCGCTCCGTCCTCCTTTGTGGCTGGGTGTGAGACCTGCCTATTGAGAGTGGATGACATGAAAAGGCTAGCTAGCTGTTTTTGATCATAGGTGCCTGCGTTCTATCCACATTCTGTGTTAGGTGGTATAGTAGAGTAATCAATACTGATCAATCATATCTTTGTTTACTGTCTCTATTTTGCATTTCTTCTACTTTCTTCTCTTGTTTGTGTGCTACATGGAGGGAGCGTGGCAACTTGAACTGCTGCACATCGGTGCAAAGTTCTATGTTGGAAACAGATGGTCCAATGTCCTCTTTGAGTAGAATGAATTTAAGCATGAACTGTTAGGCGACGAGGACAAGTTAATCAGTGAGGTTATGAAGCTGCATCGATGAAGATGGCTTATTGGATGCAACCTCCTCCATGTCTCACCCTCGCACTAACGACCAATTCGCCGCTTCCCGTTCGGATTCCACTCGAGTGATGGCCTGGCGTGTGATGTCATTTGATTATGGTTTGTCGTATCAGAGTATGACCAATTCACCTCCATTTCTTCTTGCATATTTCCTGCACAATTGGTTCCTACTGGGTTGCTTAGTTCACTGCCAGGGCTCCCTGTTGCTGATCTATTCTAGTCAGCCAGTTGATCTTGAGTGGTATTGAGCGAAGACAGCTGTTGATGAAGGCCTGTAGTTTGCTCGAAGTGGCCTTCGTGACGTGGCAACAAGGCTCTGATTCGTATAGTAGCACTGACTTCACATTGGAATTGAAAATCCGGATCTTATTTTCATTTTCCTGCTGAGTAGTGCTGTTGACCTCCACACAGACTTGAGAGTAATGAAAGCTTGCCTTGATTTCCCGATCCTCGCTGTTTTGATATCCTCATCAGTTCCGTCGGCCTGTAGTTGAAATGATGCTTCGCAGGTAGGTTGGTCGGTAGGTGAAGGAGGTTGCTCCTTTCAGATTTCTCCCATTTATGCTGATTGTTGTCTGTTGTTGTTACTGTCACTGTTGCTGTTGGCTAGGAATCTTCACCTCCACTTTTTCTGTATTCACCTGAAGGCCTATCTTCTCTGGATGCTTCTTCTATCGCCAGCTTGTTGCTTGTCACTTGCATATCTTCCAGTTTGTGGGAAGTCAGACATATATCACATTGGCGAAGTCCACATCCTCCAAGTTTTCTGTGTAGATCCATTTTTTGTCTGTCTCCTTGTTGCCAGCCGCTGTCTGTCTGTCACATTATCCAGTCAACCGCCTGCAATCGGGAAAATCATTGGAGTATCATATCACTGTATCATAAGTGTACTGTTTTGGAATAAAGCAGATCACTATTATTATTATTATTACAATATTGATTATTGAACCTTCAATGAGTCCTTCAAAGATATCAATTAATGTTTTTTTTTCTATATTGGTTTTTTCTCTCCACAGGTTTGACGAATAATCGTAGAGTTGTCGATGGATTGATGAATAATTTAGAATATTCAACAAAGAAATTAAATCTTTTACATAATGAATATTGTTTAGCCTTGTTGACGGCTAATCATTATCAACAATGGTTATACACGCATTTGCGTCCATGTCTACTGAAAGGTGTTGAGCGGACAATGCAATTAGCCTCAGAAGTTGTGTAAGTTATGTGTATTTATCTGTGTATGTGTGTGTGCATTCATTCAATATTGATTTTTTTTGTCTTTTGCTTTCCAATTTATTACTTTTGTAACGCCAGAAGACAAGGGCCAGGCAACAGATTGTTTATTGGGAAAAGCAGGAGACATTCATAGATTTTTTATGTACATTATTGTCAGCGGAGAAGCAACGTCTTCTGATTGGTTGTTTTCTTACTGGATGTCATTCTGTACTGCTTGTGACCGTTTCTCAGAAAGTTAAGCCATATATCTGCGAATCGTATCTGCACACGTTAAGTCTCCTGTGATTGGTTAGTGAGTTCTTCAAGGTTAAGCTTTGTTATTGCCTTTCTCATGACCCTGATTCGCGATGTGAACATTGACGTAAATTGTTGTCGACAATTTTGGTTTGTTTGCAGCCAGCTTTCACCACAATAAGAGAGTGATGACCGCGGTTATGCACGAATAGCAACTGTCTACCCGCCACCAGTTGGGATACATTTCCTAGTTGATTCTAAAACAAGCAATGAAAGGTGTTAAGAAAGGAGGATTTAATGAATTTATCAGATTTCGGTCGAACCCTTCCTCAGCTGAATACTCTACATATACAGGGAGAGATATAAAATTAAGTTAAAATGCATTATACGTTTCAATTACATCATCTAAATAAACAGTTAGTTATCAAATCATCGAAAATACTCATTGAGTCATAAAGGAAATAAAAGACAATTCGGAGAAGAAAATTTTCTTTATCGACAAACTCACCCTCAGAGTCTGTATAGTCGTATTTATATATTCACGAAAAATGTATAGTAGTTTATTATTGAGTAATATGAGGTGGTGGTTGACATAAGTGATGTAATTACTCAGAAGTGGCTTTAAAAGTAACAGTTATAAATTACGCAATACTCAACACCGTACAAAGGAAGAAAGCGTTAGAAATTCGATAAGGTTGAAATTGTTATTGAATGAGAATAAAGGTGGTAGTTGAGTGTCAATTTAACAAGTGTGAAGAGGGTAAGAAAATGTACAAAAAGAACATGTAAGAGTGATAATAGTGAATTAATTATTAAAGTAAAAGCAAAGTAATCATTAAAAGTAAAAATAAAAATTTTTTACAGGGAACAAATAATGAAGAGGTTAAGACCATGGTAGAATAAGAGATTGGACAGACTTTTTCTGTATACAGAGTTCAGGGGTGTATTGACGAATTACCAACGCCTCCGCCATACAGAATTGCTTTCGGTGAAGTGCTGGCCAAGTTTCTGACTCATATAGAAGAATTGACTACCTAGAAATTAGTGCTGCAAACTGATTTCAGATGGGTGATGGAATATGACATTTTGGAACTGCTGGACATGATGATAAGATTCTATCTCGCCTATTCCGATTCTGGAGTAGTAACATGACATATTATAATGGGCATCAACAGTGTTGTTCCCTCACTTGGTGATAAGATTATATAAAAAAAGAAAAATAATAAGACTTTGGCTTTGCTGGTTACATAATTTTGCGAAAAGGTCTAAATTGGAAGGGAAGTAAACTGGACCTGACAGCCAGTTGGATTCTCATTCAATAATGAGTAATGCTACACACCTCTGGTGTAAGCGGAATTCGGACGCATCACCCAAGTGGCAGCTAGGCGTCAACCATCTAGGTAGACCAACGAGGTTAAATCTCTGCTCTAACTAATGCAAGTATAGAACTTGCATACCACTGTGGTGGAATGTCATTCCATATTAGATGGGTTTATTCTAACAATCATACAGTGATGCAGTATTAACAATTGGATGACAAGGTTTTGAGCACAAATTATTGCTCATAATCATATCGATTTAGTTACACGGTCTCACAGTTTGTCTTATACATCATATTTTCTTCCTCTCTCTCCAACCTCCCCGCGTTGTTTGTTGTTGAGACTTTCCATATCTCCGGTGTAGGTGTTGCATCATGAGGATCGCAAGTGTGCGGTGTTGAATGAATTTATAAAGCTTCAGTGATTAACCTCTCCTTTTTACCCACCTAACTATATCACTTTTTAATGCTCTCACCCTGTTCCACCCACCCTATTGGGTGGTAACCGAACTTTTTTCTAGATTATTTGACTAAACAGGGTCAGTTATTCTAGGTCTAGCTAAATTTTTATGTTTCAATAATCTAACTGACCCTGATCTACTAGTTTGACACTGATCTAGGTAATTGACCTCACTAACAGTCATTACGTGATATTTGGTAAATTATTTAATTTTTCTCAATTGGATCTTTTGCGTCCTTGAACAGACGAAGTTTACCGCTGAGGGAGTCTGTTGGTTGGTTGGCTGGTTTAAATGACACTCTAATTCTGTCCTAATTGAGAATCCTATGTGTAAGGATTCTGACGTTCCTTCTTTATACGGAGGCAGTACTACACACGCTTTGAATTCTATATTATTTTCGTTATTTTTATTGCTAATCTTAGTTTTTTCTATGGTTCTTCAATATTTTTTTGAATAAATTCTTGTTGGGTAGTTAGTGGGTGCTCACTAGTAATACCACCTCATCTATTTGTTCAGTTTCACTATTTTAATCTTCTAATCGACTATTTAATTCAATTTTAGATTTTTCCGTCGATTGGTTGGACCGAAGTGCTCGGTCTCAGGTTGTCATGTCGGCTTCTTGTGCGGATGATTCGACGATGTCTGGACATGTAATTAGAATTTATTTTGTGGATGATCACTAGCAGTGGAATCCAGGATAACGAGCATTTCGTCTTATTCGAGACTCATCACCACCCACCAATTAAATTCTAATTAAATTCCCAGACATCGTCGAAGCATCTACACAAGAAGCCGACATGTCAACCTGAGACCGAGCACTTCGATCCAATCAATCGACAGGAATATGTAAAATTCAATTAAATAGTTGATGTGAGCCATTGCACAAGAGGTAGTCAGCTCTCGTAGCCCAAGTTGTCTAGTGGATAATGCTTTGGCGTTTTGAAACTACGGGCTCTGGGTTCGAGCCTCAGTGGGAACATCATCACTCGCTGACTGGGCAATGCCGGTACATCCCCGAATGGAGGACGAGTCCCAAGTAGGACGAAATGAGCGTTGTCCTGGATTCCACTGCTAGTCACCATCCACCAATTAAATAGTTATTAATGTTAATCAACACGTAAAAGTAGTTGAATAAGCGTAATACAGTTACGTAATAAGATGAATAGTTTGCTGAATGAGTTGTGATTGGGATGCATATGGAAACAAAAGAAAATATGGAATTATGTAAGAGTTCTAAAAATTACAAGTGTTATAAGAAGTTAAAAAAACAACAAGCACACAAACATAAAGTCAGTAGAAGTCACAGACAGTTGTTACCGTGATAGTAGAATTGGTTGGATGATTTTCTTTTGTATATACAACTGTGGTTTATCCATCTGAATGGCTAAGACTTCAGCAATGCACAGAGGAGACAAAAGCGTATTGCCTTTGGTAGGTTGTTGTTCACTTTGTGGATCACTCTGAAGCAGGAGGCGTTTGTTGAGATGGAATGACCAGTGTACGTTTATTGCACTTCTTATACAACCACTATTACGTTTTTGTAGCCATGCTGTGGACAAGGTACGCATGGATTACTTTCACCTCAATTGAGGTGTCTGCCATGATACATATCTATGAGCTCATCTCATAAAAAGCATATCAATCTATGTTCCTTATATAATAAACTAATTCCCTAGGGTTGAAATTTTACAGTATCAATAGTGAGGAAGTAACTCGCATAAAATCAGACAGTCTGTCAATACAACTGTGCGTCTTTTTATGTCTACATAGCTGAATTCACATCAGTTTTGCTTACTCTCACTCTTTTATCCATCGGGTGTGGTGAGTGTGTTGTATGTTTGAGCTTCAGGTGGGAGACTGATGGATGCCATGGCAACTATATAATCTTTGCTGTTTGCTTGGAAATCTCGAGCCCATCTCAGTGAATGGTAATAATACTAATTATAATCACGGTTAAAAATTAAATTTCATTTTTTTCACCAGTGTTATTTCTAGACACATATTCTGCATTTTGATCGATTGAATTTTTGGGAAGAAAAATGTTTTCTAAGGTTACAATCATAATCACCATGGAAACCAGCCAATTATAGGAGATTATTAAATATTAACATGAAATTGAATTTGTTTTACCGCTGTAGACAATTTTTATTGAGAAAATACACACCCACATTGAATACTATGATTGATAAGGATTGTTGCTTATGATATAATAATTATTATTATTGTTCCCTTGGGTTTCGAGTGGAACATAGGGCTTTAACAACACATCTCTCCTTTGTTCTATTTTCTGCCGTCCTCTTCAGTTGAGTTCATGACTTTCATTTCCTCCCCACCACACGATCTCCTCCATGTCATCCTCACACTGACGACTCACTCGTTGCTTCCCATTAGGAGTCTACTCCTGCACTGGCCTGCATTGCGCGCAGTGTCATTCGTTGGCTTCCTCAATGCATGCCCTATCCATCTTTATTTTCTTCTGCATATTTGTTGAGCAATTGGCTCTTGGTTGGTTTGTTGCCCTATCCTCGTTTCTTGTTGCTGAATCTTTCTGGTCATTTGATCTTCAATATGGAGCCAGCCACCGAAGTGGGTAGCTGTTGAGGAAAGTCGGAATTAGCCTGTTGGAAATGCTTTTCGTGACGCAATGGCCAAGTTTCTGATCTATATAGAAGGATTGACTTAACAATACTGTTGAATACGCGAATCTTGTTTTTTATGCTGAGGCGGAGTGCAGAAGATTTCCAAACTGGTTTCAGGTTGTTGATAGACTTTTAGCCAATGTGTTTTGGGCTAGAATCCTCTTCCGTCTACCCGCGTACTTCAATCTGATCACGCAATAATTGTGCCTCATATCTTGGTTAGAATAAAATGATTGATTCACATGAGGGGAGTAGTGCGCTAATCACATGAAACATTTTTTTTACCCAAGTAGCTAGCCAGAAATTGGGTGGCTTGAAGTGATTCGG